CCCCCCCTCACCTTAAAGACTTTCCTGGCGCCCGGCAGATCGTGGATTTTGCGCTGACGACCAGGAAGCGGGAGGAGACGGACGATATTCTCCGGGTGGTGGACCACTGCCTCCTAAAGTTGGCGGACATGGCTGGGTGCTTAGGCGGCCTTGGCTCTGTCGTTGGGACCCTGGAGATCGGGGCGAAGGGGGAGGGCAGGAGGAGGAGGAGGAGGAGGAGGAGGAGGAGGAGGCGAAGGAGGAGGCGAAGGAGGAGGAGGAGGAGGAGGAGGAGAAGGAGGAGAAGGAGGAGGAGGGGGAGGTGGAGAAGGAGTGTTGGGAGTTGGAGGAGGAGGATCGGTCAATCCCTCGAGGCCGGGGCTGTGGTTGAGGCATCTCGGTCCACGCAGGGGTAATCGCCTGACCTGGGATGGTCACTGGCAGGCTGGGGTCGATCGGCCAGGAGTGGGCACTGGACCAGCGCCAGTATCGTAGGGGGGAAGGGGGTCCTCCTCGTCCTCGTCCTCGTCATCGCCCTCCTCCTCCTCCTCCTCCTCCTCCTGCTTCTCTTCCTCCTCCTCCTCTTCCTCCTCCTCCTCCTCCTCCTCCTCCTCCTCGGGGAGGAAGAGCGGCAAGAGGGCGAGGGGTCATGAGGGAGGGGGAGGAAGGAGGACTGGGATCAGACAGGCTTGGGATGGAGACAAATAGCTCCAGCGCGTGCAGAAACGCTGGCAGAGCTCTCCAGAGCGCTCGTAGACTGCCGCGGCGCCTGAAGCGTCCTTCAGACCCGCTGGTGATCAGAGAATGCAGACCTTCATCTGGATATGTTTCTTTATGCCTTCAGTCTTCCAGTCGTTGAAGCTGGGTATTGTGGGACTCCCAGATCCCAGCCGCCTTCTACTTCAGCGGTTTTCCCTCATCCCTCCTCTTCACGGGGCGGGCGGAAGCCCGATCTATTTCCAACGCTTTCCTACTTTATGTTTCTACCCTTTTCTTCCGACCGACGCGTAGGTTGTATGGGAAGGGCCAGGGACGAGGGTTAAGCCAGGTTTGTCCCTCTACAGGAGGGAAAACTAAAAATAGTTTACACAAATAGTCATGGGACGATCGTTGAGTATGTTTGGCTATGTTGATGTAGTTTGTGATTATTTGGTATTGTTCGTCCGACATCCGCCTATGGGAGGACACGCCTGGCCTAAGACGAGGGAGCGAGGAGCACTAACAGATGGACGAGGGAGCGATGGAGGAGGAGCGGGAAGGAAGAGGAAGGTAGGAGGAGGAGGAGGAGGAGGAGGAGGAGGAGGAGAAGGAAGAGGAAGATGCGAGAAGCAGCCTGGGTCGGCGGCGTGCGCGTGTGATGTGACCACGCGCACTTTTTTTGTGACCACGGCGGCGGCATTGAATGGGAAGCGTCTTCCTGGGGTCCGGAGCCTGGGGAAGTTCTTCTTGCTTCAGGGCGGGGTGGGCGCGGCCCACGTTCCGCCGCCCCATCGGTCGCGAGGCCCTTGGCTTCCTCACCGGAGGCATCCTTATCGAGAGCCTCCGCCGTATGAGGGTGTGGCCTCCAGCCGTCCTTTCGGCACCATCCGCACCAGGCAGTCTCTGTCGGCGGGGAGACGTTTGTGCAGGCGGGGGGATGGGCGGGCACGAGCTCGCAGCAGTACAGAGTCAGTCAGAGCTGAGGCACTGGCCAGCCAGTGGTACAGAAGCAGAGCCGCCAATCGGCTTGTTGACGCTTCGCGTATCCCCACCGTCCCATCCAGGAACGATGCCCAGGCGAGCCATCTTGGTCATGGACCTGGAAGCGGGAAACCAGCAAGCCGAATCCTGAGAGCTGTGACAATCTGGGGAGCCTTTGGGGTTCTCTTGGGGTCAGCTCATGGCCATCTCGAAGGATATCGACCAAGATATGGGGGTGGCTTCAATTTGCCCGCCCCCCCCCCTCCCCCCGTTGGAGCCGGAAACAACGCCGTTGGGGGTCCCAAAGGGGGACGCCATTGGAGCGTTCCTGGGAGCACGCGTGGCAAATTTGGGAGCCGTGCTGGGCCTCTCTTCGGACGCCCTTTCGGCGAGATTGGAGCTATCTTGAGGCATCCTAAAGTGCTAGAAGTAAAGGGAAATTAGGACACACAAATAAATACACACACATAAAAATAGTCCCCATATTTTCCCATATTTTCTGGGTTTTTGTCTTCCCCACCACTTCCCATATTTTTGCATATTTTCCTGGGAGTCGACGATTAATTGTGTCTGTGTGTTTCTTTCCCTCCTGAAGAAGGCAGGGGTGTGAAGGATGTTAGCATCTTGAGGTATCGTTGGGAGGCTCCGCGATGTTTGGGCGCCTTGGAGGCATGTTGGAGGCCATCTGGGGATACACTGAGCAATCCTTGAACCCACACTGGGCCAATCAGTCTAACCCCCTCGGGCCCCCCCCCACACACACACACACACACACACACACACACACACACACACACACACACACACACACACACACACACACACACACACACACACACACACACACACGCGCGCCCTGGCCCAGGGCAGGGAGTATAGGGGAGGGCCGAGCCCCTCCCCAAGGGGGAAGAAGTGGATTGGACTCAACACGTTGCCAAACTACGTGCGCCCAGTGGGCTGCTGGGTTTCTCCAGCTGCCCGCGGCAAACCCCGCCACCGTGCCTGTGCAGCAGCGCGGCAGGACGGAGGCCGAGCGTAGGAACCGCGCGACTCCGACGAGTAGTCTGCAGTGGGGCGGATCGTGCTCCTGAGCTCGTCTTCGTCCGCGCGGTAAGGAGGAGGAGGAGGAGGAGGAGGAGGAGGAGGAGGAGGAGGAGGAGGGCAGGAGGAGGAGGAGAAGGAGGAGGAGGAAGAGGAGAGAGAGAGAGAGGAGGAAGGAGGAGGAGGAGGGAGGAGGAGGATGAAGGAGGAGGAGGGAGGAGGAGGAGAGGAGGAGGAGGAGGAGGAGGAGGAGGAGGAGGAGAGGGAGAAGATGACGATGAGGAGGAGAAGACTTCCTGGGGCCTGCTTGGGGCTTCCTGGGAGGCTCCTGGGAGCTTGCTGGAAGCTTCTTTCGGAACCTCTTGGGAGCCTCATGAGGCCTCTCGTGGGCCTCTTGGGCCGTCTTAGGAGACTCTTGGACCGTCTGATGCCTATGGAGGCCGCCTTGGGGGCGTCTCAAGGCCGCGTTGGTGCCTTCTTGGAGCGCTTCTTGGGCCGTCTTGGGCGGTCGGAAACCCGAACAGGTGAGAACCTGACAGTTTTTTTTCAAAAACCTAAAGGGCCTCAATGGTGTTGGCCTCGGGCTCTCCAGGAGGGCCTCTTGGAACCTCTTGAGCCGCCTTGAGCCAGCTTGGCGTCATCTTGGCCGCATCTTGTTTGCCTTGCCGTCCTGGAGGCCATGAGGCTCCCAAGAAGGTTCCAAGACAGGTCATGAAGCCCCCAAGACGACCCAAGAGGCCCTCCAGGAGAGCCCGAGGAGGCCAACACCATTGGTTTCCCCGTTTGTATATGAAAGGTTTTAGGTTCTGGCAAGTTTGGGTTCTGGACCGCCCAAGGCAGCAGCGCTTCAAGGCCGTCTGGGGCCCTCTTGGGGGCCCCTTGGGCGTTTTTGTGGTCCTCTTGGGCCGACTTGGGACCCTCTTGGGGGTCGTTTGGGTTGTGTGTGGGGGGCTACGTTAGGGGGCCTCTTGGGCCGTCTTGGGCGGTCGGATACCCGAACAGGGGAGAACCTCACGGTCCTTCAAGCACATATAGAAAAATCAATGGCTGTGCCCCCCTTGGGCTCTCCAGGAAGGCCTCGTGGAGCCCTCTCGGGCCGTCTTCGGGGACTGTTGGGCCGTATTGGGGCCCTCTTGGGAGCGTCTTGGGCCATCTTGAGACTGTATTGAGAGGCTCTTGAGCTCCCCAAGACTGCTCCACGACCATCGTTTTGGACAATGTTAGTCTGACATCGCCTTGTAATCGCTTTCGGACAGGCTTCAAGACAGCCGAAATCGGCGTTGTAAAACGACGATTTCGCTAAGGACATCCCCAAGCAGATATATGTCTAGCATCGATTTGGAATCAGTTTTGATGGCGTAAAACGGCCCCAAAGAGCCGAACATTAGTTTCAATATGACCCCAAGAGTTCCCTCAAGACGACCGAGAAGGACGATCTCGCTAGGAACATCCGCACCAAACGAAGAATTCACCACCATCGTCGTTTGCAAAATTGAGGGTTTCGCCTGAATTGCCTTCCAACACGTGCATGCTGGAGGATCCGCCGTACGATGATGTTCCGAAAAAGTGCGGCTTTGGCTGCACACATCCTCAGGAAATTGATATGTTCAAGTTGCTCGCGAATTCTTCATTTCTTGAATAATGAGGCTCTCGTTGCAGACATCCTCTGAAAAAGGCAGCTTCGGATGAGGTGCTCTCGACGCCATCCGTGTAAAAGGTGAAGCTCGTGCTGGTCTGCCGTGCTGGTCTGCCGTGCTGGTCTGCCGTGCCGCTGTGGTCTGCTATGTTCCTGTGGTCTGCCGTGCTGGTCGGCCGTGCTGGTCTGCCGTGCTGCTGTGGTCTTCCATGCTCGTGGTCTGCTGTGCTGGTTCTGGTTCTGCGGGGCCTATAAAGGCTGGAGGGGGCACCACTCAGGCGCCAACGCCCGAGGCCTCCTCTGGGCCTGTCCCAGGGGGCCTACCAGGGCCGTCCCCGTGCAGGGCGTGCGCGGCGCAGCGCGCGCGAGCCCCAGGAGGCAAGAAAAGCGGGCGCGGGCCACTTCGGGCCCCACGCCACCCCAGGAGGGCCCAGGAGCCCCAGGGGTCAGGGAGCACGATCGGCGCGAAGCGCAACGATACAGCGGCACTCCAGTTCAGACAGGAAAACATGAAAGTGCAAGGCCTTGCGACGGGCGACCCCCCAAACAAGCTTGCACAGCCGCGCACGGCAAGGCCCAGGCGGAGCGCGGAAATCTTCACGCCAACGCGCCGACGGCCAGAAGGCCCGCAAGGGGTCCACAAGAGGACGCACGCGGGAACCCATCAAACGTCAAGCTGGGCCAGGGCCCCGGAGCGGCGAAGCGCCGGCTGCTCCGCGAAGCTCGGCGAGCCCTGGGCCAGCCATTCGGCACGCTCGAGGTCGTACTCGGCCGCGCGCTCACTGCCGTCAGAAAACTCACCTCTGAGGAACTGGCCACGGTCGGGTCCGTAGTCCCTGAAGACACCCTCCACGGAGGAGACGTGGCAACTGCTGTCGCAATCGCGCGCGGCGGTGCACGGAGGGCCATCACCTGCAGCCCCCTCGGCGAGGAAGCCCTCCATGGAGGCCAGCACGCCTGCCGCGTGGCGACGCACCTCAGGAGGCCCGGACGAGAAGCCAATGCCAGCTTCGCGGAGGAGGAGCAGCAGCGTGTCCTCGTCGCCAACTGCCACCGCTTCTGCCGGGAGAGGGAAGACGCGCTCCGCGAGCTCACGGTACGAGCCGTCATCATCCACCTCGGAATCGAAGTCGCCGTCCACAACCTCGCGGTCGACGATGGTTGCCTCCGCGCTAGCCGCCACCTGGCGCCGCAGCACCCGAAGCCTCAAGGGTCCTCTGGGCGCGGTGGGCGCAGGAGGAGCCTGCGTGCCCCCGCTCAAGAGGGCCGCATCATTCCGAGCCAAGTATTGCACAATCTGGGTGTCGAGGCGAGCGCTGTCCGAACAGATCGTGCTGCACGCCGAGCCGTTGGACGCGTCCCCTGCTGCACGCCCCCAAGCGGCGACCGCAAGGAGCCCACGGAGGCGGGGGCATCGCTGGCGCTGCGATCCGCACGCTCGCCACCTCACCGCCGCCCAGACCCTGGGCCGGCGCGCCAGCAGCCGCCGGGGGCGGAGGCGGCCCAGGGGCCGCGGGGCCGACGCCGACGCTGCCCTCCAGCTCGCCAGGGCCAGGAGCGCCCTCGTCGTCGGAGTCGGTCACGCCTGCCTGAGAGAACCGCACGGTCTTCACCACGTCCAGGGACTTGGGGCGACGCCTGCGGCGCCTGGCGCCGCGCCTCACCATGGGGCCCGCGGCGCCAGGGGCGTCCGCAGCAGCATCGCCGCCGCCTGCCACGGGGGCGGCCCACTCCTCGCCCGACTCGCGGCAGCACCAGAGGCTGGGAGCCCAAGGCCCTGGGCCCACGCAGCTCCCTCCTGATGAGCCGCCGCCAGACTTGCCCATCTCGCTGTCGACCTCCTCGAGCACGGTGGCCGCCGAGGATGGGCCTGCAGCGCAGCGGCGGAGGCTAGGCTGCCATGGCCCTGCCGCCGCCTCGCGCCTAGCACGCACAGCGCGCCCGCGCCGCTGGGCGCAGGTAGGCCGCTCCAGCGCCGACGCCAGCGCAGCGGCCCCGTCGCCCAGCAAGGCGTGCGCGCCAAGGCTCCGCGCCGCACGGACGGCTCCTCCTGCCTGCTGGCCGCGCATGGCCTGCAACAGGGCTGGAGCCATCGCCGCGAGGCGGAGGGCGAGCTCCTCGATGTTCGCCGAAGGGGCCTCGACGGCCATCACCAGCGGCGCCAGCGATCCCACGGCCGTGCGGGCGGCGGCCGGCACCGCAGCCGCCGCTGCATGCCGCGCTGAGCCCGCCGCGCCCGCAGCCGCCCCGCGCGCTGCTAGCTCGACGGCGCCAGCCAGCGCGCCCCAGGCCGCGGGATGCGCATCCACATCGCTGACATCGCCCGACATCAGCGGAAGACCGTGGCCACTCAAGAGTGCGGGAAAGGGCGCCCCCCCGCGCGGCTCTTGAGCCAAAATGGCTACGGAGGTCTGCTGTGCTGATCTGCCGTGCTGATGTGGTCTGCAATGCCCCTGTCGTCTGCCGTGCTGGTCTGCCACGCTTGGCTGCCGTGGCGGTTTGTTGTGATGGTCTGCCATGCTACTGTGGTCTGCTATGTTCTTGTGGTTTGCCGTGTTGGTATGCCATCTTGCCGTGGTCTGCTATGCTCCTTTCGTCTGCCGTGCTGGTAAGCCCGTGACAAAGTTCACAAGCAAAAGCGACGCTTCCCGTTCTTGTCTGGTCAGGTTTCGGAAAAAAACCGTTTCGCTTGAGACATCTTGCAAAAAATAGGCCGCGGAGGGGACTCCGAATCGATATCGTCTTGGAGTCGTTCCCGGAGGGGACTCCGAATCGATATCGTCTTGGAATCGCTCCCTGAGGGCCTTCGAACGTCCCAAAGGATGCCCAAAAGACGCCCCAGAGGGCCTCTAGAGCTCCCCAAGATGGACCCAAGAGACCCCTAAGAGCGCTCCAGGAGGCACCCAGACAACTCACAAGACGGCCCAAGACTGGCCAAGAGGATCCCAGAAGACTCCCGAGAGCGCCCCAGGAGGCCCCCAAACGGCCCAAGAAAGACCCAAGACGGCCCCAGATGGCGCCGAGACGGCCCTAGAAAGCTCCCAAGGAACCCCACGACGCGCCCAGACAGCCCAAGAAGACCCCGGAAGCCCACAGGAGGGCCCAAGAGGCCCCCCAAGAAGCCCCAAACAGGCCCCAAGACAGCCCCGCGCGGCGCCAGGAGCTCCCAGGGTACTCCGATAGGGTCACCAGGACCCTTTCCTGATTCAACGTCCTTTTCCACTTGCCTCTTGCTGTCCTCCGTCGTCGTCGTCGTCATCGTCCTCCGCATTCATCCTCGTACTCGCCCTCGTTCTCTTCGTCCTCGTCCTTGTCCTTCTCTTCCTTCTCACTGTCCTCGTGCTACGCCTCGCTACCCTCACATTATAGATCCACGTCGTCCTCGTCATCGCCTCCTTGTCGCCCTCGCCTTCCTTCTCTTCTTCGCCACATAAGGCCATTGGACTAAAGCGGCGCTTCCCGTTCTTGTACGATCAGGTTTCACATGCGTTCGTACCAAGCCCCGTCCTGACCATATAAAAGACAGCCCTATGCGACATGTTCGGCCCGTGCACGCATGGGTGCCAAAACAGCAGGTCCGTCGCCGTTGCCAGGACTGATTCGACATGCCAGCCCATCCGGCACTTGGAGTGGTATTGTACGCTCTGGGCAGGGAAGAAAGCAGCCGCATGCGTTCGGCAATCGAAAGAAAAGGAGATGCGTGGTGGCGGAACAAGCAACATTCGATCGCGCGCCAAGAATTGTGGACAGCGTGGCAATCAATTCTGTACACTGGAAGAGCAAGTCCGCGATTGTTGTCGGGGTTCGGTTCACAAGCATGGTTTGGGTGTTCCTGTAGAAACGCAGTGCACCAGATCTGCTCCAAATGACCATCGCAACACACACCCCTTTGCCACTCGGTAAAGGAAGGCGATTGGAACGATCCGTAAAGGGCACGCTTTCCAGCTGTTGTGGCGGAGGAGGCGATGCACTGTGCACAGAGAGCCCCAACACCCGAGATCCAGACAACCGAATGCCTGAGGATGGGTAACGGCAGCTTCCACGCCCCGCGCCCTATGCGGCAGCCGTCTAAAAGGCTGCACGCCCCGCGCACGAAAGCCAGCCACGAAGAGTTGTCGCACCACAGATCCTTCTCCTCATCCTCCTCCTCCTGCTCCTCATCCTTCTGCGGAGCTGCTCGGCCCAGGACGGTGAGCAATTCGCGAAGGCCCCACCTTGACGGTGGCGGAGGTGGTTCTGTTGCGCCACGCGCCCCGTGTGTTGCACCACACAGGTTGCCTCTTACAGATGGCACCATACAGGGCGCGACGCATAGGCCGAACCGTGCACAGTCTGTGCACCTCCTCCTCCTCCTCCTCCTCCTCCTCCTCCTCCTCCTCCTCCTCCTCCTCCTCCTCCTCCCCCTCCTCCTCCTCCTCCTCCTCCTCCTCCTCATCCTCCCCCTCCTCCTCCTCCTCCTCCTCCTCCTCCTCCTCCTCCTGAGAGGAGGAGGGGAAGGAGGAGCCCCGAGCAGCCCGCCGCCCCAAGGAGAGCGTGCTGAGCGAGTGCCACGCGGCGTGCTCGAGCGGCCCAGGCGCCACGGGCGCGGCGCCGCGTGGCGCCGCTGGCCCCTGTCGTCGCCCGCGTCGCCGTCTCCGTGCTCCACGTCTGCCATCGTCGTCGTCCGCCGCCGTCGTCTTCGTTCTCGTCGCCGTCGTCCGCGTGCGTCGTCGTCCGTCTCCGTCGCAGTGGTCGTGTTCGTCGTCGTGCGAGTCCGTCGCCGTCGCTGTCGTCGTCAGCGTCAGCGTCAGCGTCAGCGTCAGCGTCAGCGTCAGCGTCAGCGTCGGCGTCGTCAATTGCGCAGTCGCCGCCACAGGCTTGGTGCCGCTGAGCCACTGGGAGTCTGACTCGTCGGCGGTCGAGGAGGAGAGCGACGACGCAGATGCGCCAGGCTTGCGCCACATATGAGGCGTTCTTGCCAGGGGCTCTTCTTCGAGGGATCGAGAATTTGACATCTTGTCGTCTGCGGAAGGCTGGCGAAAGGAGGCGGAAGTAAAGCGAGGGGTCTCCAACTGAAACCAACGGAAATAAGCATGTGCCCTCTAAGTGATACACAGTCGTGACGTTTCGCGTATCATCCGAAAGCAATCACCAGGGAAGTTGCTCTGATCAGGGATGTGTAGCAACGTGGTGTCACGCTCTGGCAGCCTATGTGAGGCATCTTGAAGCCATAATGGGGCCCTCTTCGAGCCAGTTTGGAGGCCTCGCACCCTCTTGAGATCCCCTTGGGCTCTCTTGGGGCCCTCTTGGGCTCTCTTGGTGCCCTCCTGGCGGCGTTGAGGGACCACGTCGGGCCATGTTGGGGGCCATCGATCAAAGAGGGGTGGGTGACCAGCCTCCCCCCGGCCTCGGAGGCCGCAAGATGGCCTCTTGGGGCCCTATGGGGGCGCGCTTGTGCGTTATTGGGACCATGCTGGGCCCCTCGTGAGGCTCTCTTGAGCCATCTAGGAGCCACCTTGCGGCTTCAAAAGCCCGTCGGAAGCGAAAAGGCGATGATGCAAAAAACAGGTCGTCCTCGGGTGTTGTTGGGGGGATTGGTGGCCTCTCGGAGGAGGGTCTCTGGGAGGCTCCGTGGCCTCTCGGGCCGCCTTTGGAAGGGCACGGCGCCTTTGGGAAGCATGCTGGAAGTTCTGTTGAGCCATAGTGGGCGATCTTGTGTGATCTCGGAGGCCATGCTGTGCAATCCGGGGCCCTCTTGGGGCCACCTTCGGCGCGCCAGCAGCCCGCGGCTGGACCCGTCCAGACCCAGGGAGAGGGGCAGGGGGCAGGCAGGGTGCACTCGCGTCGCTCCTCCTCCTCCTCCTCCTCCTCCTCCTCCTCCTCCTCCTCCCTCCCTCCCTCCCTCCCTCCCTCCCTCCCTCCCTCCCTCCCTCCCTCCCTCCTCCTCCCTCCCTCCTCCTCCTCCTCCTCCTCCTCCTCCTCCTCCTCCTCCTCCTCCTCCTCCTCCTCCTCCTCCTCCCTCTCTCCCTCTCTCCCTCCCTCCCTCCCTCCTCCCTCCCTCCCTCGTCCCTCCTCCTCCTCCTCTCCTCCTCCTCCTCCTCCTCCTCCTCCCTCCCTCCCTCCCTCCCTCCCTCCCTCCCTCCCTCCCTCGTCCTCCTCCTCCCTCCTCGTCCCTCCCTCCTCCTCCTCTTCCTCCTCCTCCCTCCCTCCCTCCCTCCCTCCCTCCCTCCCTCGTCCTCCTCCTCCTCCCTCCCTCGTCCTCCTCCCTCCTCCTCCCTCCCTCCCTCCCTCCCTCCCTCCTCCCTCGTCCTCCTCCCTTCCTTCCTCTCCTCCCTCGTCCTCCTCCTCCTTCTCCTCCTCCTCTTCCTTCTCCTCCTCCTCCTCCTCCTCCCTCCCTCCCTCCCTCCCTCCCTCCCTCCCTCCTCCTCCTCCTCCTCCTCCCTCCCTCCCTCCCTCCTCCCATCCCTCCTCTCCCTCCCTCCCTCCCCTCGTCCTCCTCCTCCCTACCTCGTCCTCTCTCCTCCTCCTCCTTCCTCCTCCTCCTCCTCCTCCTCCTCCTCCTCCTCCTCCTCCTCCTCCTCTTCCTCCTCCTCCTCCTCCTCCTCCTCCTCCTCCGTCTCCTCCTCCGTCCCTCCCTCCCATCCCTCGCCATGGCGTGCACCTCCTCTATTCAAACATCGGATGTCGTAGCATGGCATAGCACAAAGAGGTCAAGCCATCTCCTACCCACAAGGCGCGAGCCGTATCGCGCACTCCCACCCGCTCTCCCTGCACAGCAGCACCCGAGCATCCCTGTCAAAAGCCAGTGCACTGTGGTGTAGTTTGTGCGGGGTCGCGCTGGCCTGCGCTCAGCAAGCAACCAATGCAGAGTGGTCGCGGGCCGCCCGCGGATGCTCCAGATTTGGCCGAGTGTACTTTGTATTGTCTTGTTGCCGGGGTTGTTGGCCTGCGCGCAGCAAGCAATATGCCGGCACACCCGCCGTCCCTGTCAAAGACCAATGAAAAGTGGTCGCAGGGCGCCCGCGCATGCTCCAGATTCGGAGGAAAAGTGAATTCCGTATTCTAGGTTGACAAAGTTGGTTGGCATGCGCGCAGCAAGCAATATGAGGTTCCCTCCGCCGTCCCTGGCAAAAACTTGTTCAAAGTGTTCCCGGGGCACACGCGCATGCTCCAGATTTAAAGTCAAAGTGTACTTTGTAGTGGTTGTTGAACGGGATGGTGGGGGGGGCATGGGCTCAGATTGGCTGCCTGTGGTGTGGGGGAGGTTGTTTGTTTTTTCTTTGGGGAAAACATCGGGGTCAATGAGGAAAAAGAGGACCATCTATGCCCAAAGGGCTGCTGGGATGTTCTT